AATACTTTCCCATCATGCACTAAAGACTCTAGAGATGCTTTTAACATCTTGTAAGGGTCTTGCTCAGTTTCTAATGCTGAGTGTCAGTGAGCTACATGCCAGAGCCTTCCTCGAAGTTAGATTTATTCTCATTCTGCTGAAATGAAAGAAGAAAGGAATCAGAAACATTTTACAGTTGTGAACTTTGAAAATGCAGTGCTTCTTATGTATTTTGAGTTACTAGCTTATTCTTTGTTGGTTTGCACATTGGTAAAAACAGAATATATGTATTTTTTCTTTAGGAAGAGTTCGACTGTTTCAACTGTTTTGGGTTTGCTAATGTTACTAAACAATGCATAGAAAATTGTTCCAACCACTTTTGTCATAGTAATAAGCCAATGGAAACTATCACATAAGAAACTTTTCACTGCACATCTCTTTGTCTTACCTGTTGTTTCCCTGTTTTGGTTCCACCATTTTGTCCCAAGTTTAGTTTTTCATCCTATGAAGTAAGAAACCATACAGTAGCTCAGTTACCTTCATGTGTTGAATGGCAATAAAATGGACTGCATTTGTCAGCAAAATATCTCTTTTTCATATATGTATAAAATAAGTGCAGCAAAGAAGTGGTTGCCACAGATACAAAGCAAAATAACTTCTCAGGTAAAATTAAATTATGTCGAACAAGGGAAAACAATTTTGTCTCCATACAATCAGAGCATTATTCAGATGTGCAGATATTAAAATGAATTAAGGGAACCCAAATACAGTATCTGGTCAGGGGATATTGGTTAGTAATGCTTCTACAGCTGGGAAGGAGGCAGTCACACAGACAGCTCTTATGAAATCCTATAACACATTGTTTTACTCACATAGTCAGATTTAGACTCAAGCAGCTCTTCTGGCTCATTTTCCTCAATGCTGCACTCTACTTCAGAACACTCTGGAGAGCGCTTATCTCTGCCTCTGGTCAGAAAGTCAGTGGCAGATGATTTTCTCAAAAGGGCTGAAAAACATTGCAAAAACATCTTGCTAATTCCTTGGAATACTAACAATATATGTTTTTGTGCATGTTGATGTTGTCTTGTTTGGCATAAACCCTTTATTTTAGATAGTTCATGTAAAAGTCTCAAAACTAACTTTTCACAAAAAATCATAAATAAGTAACGGGAAATATCCAGAGATCTTTTCATTAAGAGAATGGACACTTAATGAATAAAATACAATATAGATTCCATATACTGTAGGCATACATATGTTCTAGTAATATATATATATAATGAACACCTTTATCCAGGAAATTGAATTAAAGACCAAAATTTAACTTAAATGCTAAAACAAGATGTGGAAACCTTTTAAAACCAGTCAAATTTATTAGTTGTATTTGATGCTTCCAATGTGACATCCTCTGAATTGCTTTAAACTAAAAGACATAGTCTTGATATGCAGGTACTGTAGGCTCCCACAGTTACAGAACTATTCCACTAAAAATCAGAATTAACAGACATGTAAAGCTGCTGTCTTACCTGCTTCAGTGGTGATGTAGGTTGCAAGAACCATTATCAACAAGGGTAGGGCCATCTTTAATGTGGTTGCCATCTTCTCTTGTACAGTTCATTGATGTGTTCTCAAAGTCTTAGTACTTTGTACAGTACCTGTGCAGTAACCACGCCTCTGAAAGGAAGGAACTTTACAGGTCTAAATAAGCCTCACCCAAGTGGAATATAGCCAAAAAGATAATTCTTTCCAGATCTTGCAACTACAGTAGTGTATTTTGCTTCTTTTTACTCTGGGAGCTGAAGACCAAGATCAAGGTTCATTAGTATTGGATGTTAGTACAGATCAATGGGAGGGACACAGCAAACTTTCATATTTATGATACTGTTCACACACAATGACCTTCTTCAGTGCTGTATATATCAAATTCATAGAACTTTATTGGCTTAACTGAATCACAGTGTAGTCAAAGCGGAAATTGTCAATAAAAGATTTACAGAAGGAATATTAAATCAGGTTTCTCTGTTGCATTTTGTTTCCTGAAGCCTTTGTTAAAAAACATGAGTATAACTCCTATGTTTCTGTTTGAACTTAACTCACTGCATGGAATCTCTGAATTTTTCCACATTTTAAAATGTCAAATAAAGTTTTACAATAAATGACATTTTAACAATCATTAGTTTAAGTGTTGAAACACCATAATAAAAAGTTACCTTTACTCTCATGCTTATACAGTTTCTGGGTCTCTCATTTTAGGATTTAAGAAATCCCTTGGTCAAAACTTAAGTCATTTTTCATAATGGGTGACTTTGATAAATTCAAACCATGTAAATCATAAATACATAAATCTTTTTATATTGGAAGAGCACATTGGTCACAATCATACTATACTGTGCTATCTGCTGAACTGTCTTCAGAATCAAAGAATACATCATAATTGTCTCATAGTTTAATTAACTAAATGTTTTTTCTTTTTTTTCTTCAGGAGCAATTCAACTGTTTTTAACCCTAGTGCCAGGAAGAGAGCCAAAAAAGCTTTATTATGCAGAACATCAGATGTACAGTAACTGCATAAAGTAACTACAAAAAACTGTGAAATACTGTACGTTACAGAATTGTACATTATTACATGTAGCACAAAAGACCCTACTTCAAGAACACCACTGCTTAGTTATATTAAAGTTACAGAATTCAAATTGTTAGCCAAGGAAGAGATACATACAGTACCGTATTGGCTATATTTATTTTACATTTAAATTAGTTCTCTTCTTTTTTAATTCAAGCAGCTAAAATAGATACAACCTTAAATGAAAAACTCCTATACTCTAAAAACAGTTCCAAGGCTCCCACAAGACAAAGGTAAGTGGAATTATTTTTTTATCAGTTCAGTCATATGTTGTTGATCTGATTATTGATTACTGGTGAAATGGAAAACTTCCCCATTTTCAGAATTAGTAATGTAACGTATGGGGAAAGTCTGCTTTGATTAACACAATGCAAACATCTGAGAAACTATTTTTACCCAAATGCTCAAATTATGTTAATAGTCTGATTCATGCTTCATATACTTTCCTGAACATTTACATAATATAATTAGTTATATCCAATTTAATTAATATTCCACTCATTTATATGCTTTGTGCTTTTTACAACATAAAACAATCCCTACCTCTGTGTAAATAAGCCTTTCTCTGAATCTTGGATTCTACACTAGTGTGGTTTATTCCTGAGCCCTGTTATTTCTAGCTATCCCAGATTTCAGGTCCACTTATGCTGAACTAAAACAATTCGGCTCTTGTTAACCAGAGCAAAACAAATCTGATACTGAAGATTCTTTTGGATTATAAAGATTGGAAAATGATAACATGTTTCCCACACAAAGGGCCCTGTGATTTCAAGTATTCTGTTACTAGTAGAAATGTGTGTGGCAATTAAGAAGCAAGTAGGGGAGTTTGTGCTTGTATATAGGTGAGTGAATAGTTTAGAATTATTTGAAAGCCTACACCTAAAGCTACTAAATTAAAGAAGCAGATTTTATTAATTTGATCAGCTCTCTTAAATAGTATAGCTTTTGAGGGTAGGATCACAGAGAAAGAAAAAGTAATTTTCTAATAAAGAGATTATTTATTATTTATTACCATTAAGATTCTAGCCCTAACAATTTCTTTTTGAATTGCTGTTGTCACATTTTTGTCGAAAGATTTGGGAACTTCAAACCTCAATTTTAGCAAGAAAGATAAGATGGAGAAAAACAAATTAGAGTAATTTGCTGAAGCTAAGGTCATGGTACAGTACCTTTTCACAATAACAATGGGGAGAACTGGGACCTGCTGTAAAAGACACACAGCACCTGTCTGGTTATGTGTGCAAATTGAAATGTGTTTAACTGCTTTAGAGAAAAAAAACCATCAGTATTATATGTCAAACTCCAGGGTGTGAACATAAATACCCACTTACATTTTTTAAAATTTTCAACGTGTATGTATTATATGTAATGTTTATAGCATACTGAAGTAACAATTAATTAATTGAGTAATTAATTAATAATTTATAGTGTATTTGTAACATTGGTAGTTTTCCAGGTTGATCAATATTGTTGTACTTTGAACTATTTAAGGCTTTTTGTGATTTGGAGACAACAGCTGAACATGATATTCTAAGTGAGGTCTTACTAATGCTAATAAGCCCCCCCCCCCACCCCCGTCCTTTGTGATACCCTGCCTGTATTGCCTGTATGTTATTTCTAAAAATACTTTGAAAAGGTGCAGCCAAGTGAGAACAAGAAAAACCCAAAAGAATTTGGAAATTGACTAAGCAATTTAATCTGTGGGAAAAATCTGCTTCTGAGGAACATGTCTTGTTTGTAAAACTATCCAAATACTAAAATTGCCTCAGATAAATTCATAATCAGTTCTATAATTAATTATATCTAATATAATTCATATTCCACTGAACATTTTGTTTGTTTTTTTTTTACAATATGAAATAATTCCTGTCTCAATGAAAATAAATGTTTCTCTAACTCTTGAATTCTCTGCCATGGCGGTTCATAACTGAAAACAAGGGAAAGGGTTATGAATGAGTAGAAGCTACATACCTTATCTTATGGTTGGTTGCTAGTAAGTCATATTTTGAAGGATCTCATCTGGCCATTTCTTGAAAGTTACTTGATTTCAACAAGAGCTGAGTAATTTGTTCCATATACTCAGCACCCTCTGTGTAATAAAACTGCCTTGAGATTTGAGTCCTAAATGTACTCCTTCAATTTCCAAGCATGCTTTAAAGTCCTTGAATAATTATTGAATATAAAGTTATCCATTAGGTTCAGTTTATCAAGACTTTGAATACCATTATGAAAGTCCCCTGTTGTTCAAGATTGCTTTAAATCAGCAGTTTTGATGTAAAACAGTACTGTGCCCACAACTTTAATGTCAAATTCTGCTGAAATGCATACCTCTTGCATTTCTACAGTATAAATGTGTGTAAATAAATAAGTAAACATACCACTGTTATTGTCTCTAAAATTAGTTTTAGTTCTTTATTTGTTATGAATAAAGAGAAATATTGTAGTATTCACCAGTTTTTAAATACAATAACCCATATTTGTCTAAATTAATCAGATCTGTCCTACAAAACATTACATATACTGAAAGTTTATTTGTGATAATAAAAACATTTTAATGAAAAGTACACATCTGCACACAATTGAAAAAAAAGAACAATTAAGTGGCATTTTGTTTAACATTAAAGGTTAAAGGCCAGCAGATACACATCAAAACACAGATCTCTTTTAACTAAATACAAATGTAAATGTAACAAAATTGTTCATATTCTAAAAGGTAAAACTTATCATAGAAAAAAATATCTTATTCCTGATTTTCAAGTTCCTTAATTAAGACATTTTCCTTGTACACTAGTCTTTAGTAGTGTTGCATTTGTGTTGTATGAAAAAAATAGTTTAATTGCAGGAGAGCATGCTGGAAGAAATTAAGTCTAACACAGTTCGCCTGCAATGTAGATTTTAAAAAAACACAGACCATTTTAAATTAGAATACATCCATTCCATGGGTTGGCTCTTCCATATTGGATGTTTTTTTTAGAAAAGGAAAGAAAGAATGAATCAAAGAATGCCACTGTACACTGTCCAAAATTGCTACATGTTTTAAACCAATCTAGTTCATTCATACCTTCTCAGCTGGCATTACAGAACATGGAAGGCACTGAATAAATCTTAAGTGTACAATATCTCCAATACAATACAATATCGCCATTGACATAGCTCTGTTTCACCACTTTGTTTGTTTTAAAGTGAGTGTATGGATATGAAATTATCAGAATAAAAAAATAAAATATTTTATATAATTTTATCCATTCCGTAAACACACTTTAATTGGATAATTCTCTGCACAGTGCAATAGCAGACATTTTCCACATGTCTCTGAATCTGTGAGATGTTTTGGTAGAACTGTTAATTTTAATTATTTTGTTATTTTGAATTTGCAAGGTGTATAGTCACAACTGATCCAGTTATTTACAGAAGTGCAATTGTCTGTATTTGTTAAATGCGGCAAAATATTCTTCCAATGAACAGCAGAAGTATCACTAGTCGGGTCTGCTGTGCACTTTTTAAAAATTTGTTGTGTACATGTACTGTACATGTAGAGAATACATAATATATACAGCATATATTGAATTAATTATTTCTTATTTTCAAATATATAATTAACTAAACTTATTAAACTTTTCATACAGTATGTTGTGGAAATTCTGAATGCCATATGACTTCATTTGTTTAACCAGTGCAGGAACAGTCCAGTCTGGACAACATTCTGAGCTCTAGAGAATTATTGAAGGGTGAATATTATCTTAGCATTGTGATAACAGCCTGCTTTATATAATACTGTTTATATTGCCATTTTACCTGACGTTCTGTGGCATTACTGAGTATTGTATAGGAAAATTGCCTAACACCTCTTTTTATTTTAAATTCTACTAGTTTAGGAATAATAATCTTAACATATAATACATAACTAGTATACTCTTTATGCTTACGCCCTTTAAAACACAGGCACCATATATATTTCATACTATAGCATTTCAACATATAATTTAACTTTCACAGAAAGGTAAGTCAAAACTTCTTCTTTATTCTCCCTCCATAAAATATCATAAATAGTTTAGTAATCTTTAGGTTTTTACCTTTATGTGTCTGAAGAAGATTCAGTCTCACTTTGAATCTGTAGTTTCACTAACTTCTTGCAAATGCGTGTAAGTCTAATAGATCCATTAATACTAAATATTTCAGGATGTAGATCTAAATCTTAGCACAAGTGAGTCTCACTGTCACTAAAGCTGCAAAAAACCACTGACAAGCTCCTGAAAAATTCATGTTTTTCCATGGTACGTTTGTTTTCTGATTGAATTTCATTGTCGTTTTTTATCCCTTCTCAGCTGTCTGCCTACCGTATTTTCAGAGACTGAGATAACCGTCTGTGTTATATAGGCTGACTGATGATTTCAACAGATAAATGGTTTATGAGGATAATGCCATTTCCTGGTGTGTGGTACAGTACATTGAGCATTTTAAGAACAAGTCTGGAGTAGAATCTTTTCCCAGTTTAGTGAGAACTTCTTGAATGAAAATCACTTTATTACATAAACCTGGGATTCTTGTTTCAGTTAAAGGGAGTGCTGTTGTCTGTAAGTTGCTTCAACTTAGTGGAGATAGCTAACACTCTGCAGATGTTCTGTACCATGTATGTATACATGAGTAATACTCATCACATACAGTATGTTCCACAGATGGAAAACAACTTTTTAGACATCCTTCTCCTCCGGATTTAAAATAGATGTCCTTCTTAAATTTTCTTTCACTTTAATGAATTCTGGTTCGTTTTCAGATCTCTCTTCAAGATTTTCTTGTTCTTTTTCAAGCTGAAACACAGAGATTGCTTTGATCATTAAAAAAACAAATACAGATATGATTTATGTTAACACTTTCAGTTCTGGAAAGTGTCAATTTTTTCTCGCTTAACACACTGCTCTCTTAGAATCTCTTGCCCATAATGTACATTTACAGTCTGCAAACTGGATAAAACGTACTTCTACTGTTGGCCCTGTGTTTGACATATTACACTAGCTCGCCTTACCTCCTCTAACCTCTTCTGTCTTTTGAGAAGTTCTTGCTCAAAGGGGGACTTCAGTCTTCTGGCTTCTTCTTCTTCTTTTTTCTGACGAATGTGTTGCTCTCGTTTCCTGTGCTCAAGTACTCGCTGGAGCTCTGGCTTGTTCTCGATTCCCAAACCCCTGCCATGAAAGAAACAAGAGTGTTGCGGTTACCACCCTCTCCTACAGAGGGCGCTTCAACCTCATGTTAGTATTTTTAGTTATTAGCTGCATTACTTCTGAAGTAAGACACAAGATGTAAAAAGGGTTAATTTAAGTCAGTTCTGCCTGAAAATTAGACTTCTAAGCAACAGGGGTTTATGGCAGGAAAGGGGGTTAGCTGATGCGAGCTAGGAACCCCCTGGGGGCATAATCTTAAACTGACCATTTGGCCATGGTCTCTTAACTGGCCAAATACCATGACCCGCCCCTTACCATAACAATGAATGACATCCGGAGCAGCAAGGAAGGAGTATATAACCTAAAAGTTTGTACCGGCAAATGGAACAATACTTCGGTTTTGTTGTTTCTTGCGGGAAACAAGACTTCGGCTTTATTTTTCCTTGTATGCAATAAACTCATCTGTTTAACTTCATCTCGGGATCCAGAACCTTATTCTTTCTGTTACAACACTTCCTAGTGTGCCTTGTTTTAGCTTCCTTATTTAAGTTTACTCCTTCTTGCCTTTGGGGCTCAGCTTTGGTAGATGGTAGCTTGATGGCCCATCTAGTACCAGGCTTCGAAGCAAAGCTGAGGGCATAGGCCCGTTTACACTCCCCCGGAGGGAAGGGAAGGGAGCCCTGTATTTCCTGGATTCCTGGATTCTTGTCTCGTCATGTGTTCCTGTTTGACTGTGTCTCCTGTTGGATCTCCTGGCAATGGACTGCTTCCTCTCTCCCCTTTGAACCTCCTTGGATATGTTTTCCTTTCGGATATTCCCCACAATTCTGCACGAACTTCCCTACTTCACTTAGAGCACCAATAAACCCCATGTGTCTCCCCTGAACCCGGTCAATGGTCCGCCTCGCATAGGGTCTAAACACCATCCTCAATGGGAGACCAACCTGGCTCCCGTGACAAAGAGTGTATTATATGTTATAGTGTAGCAGCCATACTACAAATCCATAATTCCTGAGATATTATAATCACAACATCCTGGAGAGCTGTGGGACCTTGATTCATTGGACATCACCTAGATCTTTTCTTAAGGACTATGTTGTGATTCTGTTGTCTCTGTTATGTGTATTTAACAATTTGTGTACTGTTAATGGTGTGTGTCATCTCTCCATTTTGTTTTTTTTTGTGAGAAACAAGGAGAAACTCCTGAAGTGAGTCATACGGTGCCATGCAAAAGTATTCACCCCTCTTGGACCTTTTCACATTTTATTGTGTGACAACATGGAACCATGATGTATTTAACTAAGAATTTGTGCCACTCATCAACACAAAGTACTATATAATACCAAAGTGAAAATAAAACCAGACATTTTACTGAATTAATTAAAAATAAAAACCAGAAAATAATCAAATGCATACATATAGACCCCCCAGAGTTAGGACCACCTTTGGCAGCAATTACAGCTGTGAATCTCTTTGGGTAAGTCTCTATCAGCATTGCACATCTTGACACTGGAATCTCTGCCCATTCTTCTTGGCAAAATTGCTCAAGCTCCATCAAGTTGGATGGGGACCGTTTGTCAATGAATCATCTTCCGAGTCCCAGTGCGGATTGCAGTCCCAGTGTGGATTTTCCAGTCCCTGCCACAGAGAACCATCCCCAAAGCATGATGCTGCCACCACCATGCTTCACTGTAGGGATGGTGTTCTCAGTGTAATGTGCTGTGCCAAACATAAAGTTCAATTTTGGTCTCTTCAGACCATAGAATCTTCCTCCAAATTGTTGAGTCTCTCACATGCCTTTGGGCAAACACCAGCCAAGATGTGATATGAGTTATTTTCAACAAAGTCTTTCTTCTTGCCACCCTTCCATACAAGCCAGATTTATGAAGTGTGCGTGGTATTGTTGTCTCAGTTTCGCACAGTTTCTTCCATCTCTGTCATGGAGGACTGTAACTCCTTTAGAGTTGGCGTAGGCCTCTTGGTGGCCTCCCTTACTACGGTTTATCTTACCCGGACACTCAGTTTTGGAGGAAGGCCAGTTCTGGGCAGATTCACAGTTGTTCCATATTTTCTCACCTTTTTAATGATGGACTTCACTGTGCTTTATGGTATATTCAATGCCTTGGAAATTTTCTTATATCCTTGCCCTGTCTGGTAATTTCAAGAACCTTGTCTCAGATCTGCTTGGAATGTTCCTTGGTCTTCATGGAATAGTGTTTCCTTGGAAATGCACTAAGTGGGGAAGCTCCCAGACACAGGTGTATTTATTCTGAAATCATGTGAAATACCTCAACTGCACACAGGTGGACTCCAGTCAAGTAATTATATGACATCAAGTAATTAGTTCGTTACTTCAGAGGTAATTTACAGTAGGTATGTCAAAGCAAGGGGTTGAATACTTAGGAATTCAATTATTTCCTGGTTTTTATTTTCAATTAATTTAGTAAAATGTCTGTTTTCTTTTTCACTTTGACATTATAGAGTACTTTGTGTTGATGAGTGGGAAAAATTCTCAGTTAAAAACATCATAGTTCCATGCTGTAACACAATAAAATGTGATAAAGTCGGAGTTGGATGGAGTGGCAAGTGAATCAGAAAACATCACTGCCATGCTGCCTTGCCTGGTCTCTAACATCACGGATGTGAAGAGCTTTGTGTGGCAGCTTTGTGCTGCATTGCCACTGCTTTTTAAAGGATATTGACTGGCAAAAAGGAATCTCAGTCAAATAGAGAGCCTGTTTTGAAGCCTCAAAAGTGACACTGACTTAATCCTCTGTCCTGGATTACCCAGATCCCAAGCCGGGACACAAATTAGAGTGATGATGTTATGAGGAGATCAGAATATTACTCTCACATTTTTGTTCAAGGGGAAGGTGATTGGAATAATTTAGCCTGGCTCTGAATAAAGCAAAATAGAATTATTGTGAGTCATATTCAGACTGGGTCATGACTTGAGGCTGTGAAGCTCTCCCACTCACATCTACAATATACAGTATGAGCATCACTTCTTCCTCCACACTTCAACTTCAAGGATCCAGAATGTCAGATGGCTTGCTGAATGACAACTACAAGATTAAGCACTATGCTGGGGTAAAGCATCTAAGTATGGGCATTCCCTCACATAAGACGTGCAGAAGGAAAGTGCAAGCCTTGCATATTAAAGCGGTCAAGGAAGACGTCACATGGGCTGGGACAGAATCCCACAAGACATCATGTGCAACCTTATGCAAAGCATGTATCCACTTAGTTACAGTATGTATTGCTTTGAAAGGCCGCACACTCCTAACTTGACTTGTAGACCCCTTTCTGATTAACTTTTTTAATAACAAATATTATTCAGCTTTAAGAATTTGCCTTTCTTCAAGAAATTGGTTTCTTGAGGTGCTCAATATATTTACATACTGTATCACTCCTAATATAGCAGACTAATGATGACATTATTTTTTGTACCTCCAAATGTCAATTCTGTAATTAATCTGCCTATCTAAACACAGTAGGAAAGTCCATATTCCATGAAGAAGAAGAATGCAATAGCAATGTCAGTAATGAAATCACTCACTTTCACAAGGCAGGCCACAATTCACAACAGGAAACAGCCCATGAAAATTCATTCTTGGACTCTTTTTTCAGTTCTCAGTGCTAGTCCTGGAAAACTGTATTATGCTGCTAGATAGTAGAATGATCTCCCAGTCTATATCAGATCGTATAAATCTGTCAGAACTTTCAAAACCTGTCTTAAAACTCATTTTTTACTCTAACATTTAATTCTGTTCAATTTATTATTTTATTTTGTATACACCTCTGTTTTATTTTTTAAAATTTTAGATAGTCTTTTACAGGTAAAGTTCATCATAGAACTTAAAGTTTATTACTTAATACACAACTCACTGTTCATGTGTTAATATAACAGATATGACTGAAAGATGAGCTTTGTTTCTTATAAATTGTTTTGCAACTGGGGATATGTTTTAAGATTAATCAATTTCTAATCTATTCTTTTAAATCGGGGTCACAGGGTTCTAGCCCTTCCATCTGTATAAATGGGGACCAACATTGCTAAACTCTGGTCAGACAAACTTGTGATGTTGAGTAAGAAACTAGAATTAATGCATATACTTCTGACCCCCAGAGGGCAGTCATGTCCTATTAATGTAGCCAGAGAAAGGAGAAAAATATCACAATTTCAAACATAATACAGAGGCTTTCCAAACTCTGCAGAGTTCATTAATTTTAGGTGTAACCTATATTGTATGAAGATTACATTTTAGATTTTGTATATGCTATGTGAACAATGAAAAACATTATGTCGTAGGGGAAATAAGGCAGCGATATCATTGTAGTTTTCTATCACGTGATCATTGAGCTGAGTAAGTGCCAGTGAATTATCAAGCCCTACAGAGGTACTAATAACAGAGCACAGAAGTGATTGGTATGCAAATAGCTGACAGACTCAGAATAAAGGGAAGAAGAATAATTGGTAGTATTTCCAAGGCTGCATTGCTATTGCGTCTGTTGCTTGAAGTAAGCCACTGAGTTCTAATCCATTTATTTACTGAGTGTGCGTTTGGACATCAAAGTGTAAATGCTCTTTGAATATGTAACACAGTCTGTAAACCCTGACATTGATTTAGTTCAACAGTGTTTCTCTTATTATTTTGTTTTATTTTGAAAACAGCCTTATGCTTGGTAACTAGCATTGGTGTAGCACATTACAGCATTATACTCTAAATAGCACCCTTGCTTAATTATCCATGATTGAATTTCAGACCTCATGTTCTTGATTTCCTTTAATTTCTCTTAACCACTGCCACCAGGTCCTGTTTCAACAGTGTGAAAAAGATCCTGGAAACACCATCTTTAAGCAAAACTAAACAAAGTTCTGAGCAGCTTGATCAAGAAAGACACTGGCTTCAAGGGTGGGTTGACTCTATAACCTAGATGCTCACTTAGAAGTAGAACCATGACTCTGTAAGCCAGCACCTCAGCTTAAGGGAGCCTGAAGATCAGGTACAGTGTACTGTGCTGGCCAGGGACCCACTCTGTAGGAACTCAGGAGTGAATTATTGTTCTGAATTTGTGTCTTCAAAATAACTATTTGTTATTGTGCTTTTTATGTCTTCTCCTGGCTAAGTGCATGAGAGAGAACTGTAGTGTTGGTAATGTGGCAGTGGGTGAATGAATGTTTAAGTGATAGATGTTACACTGTCTTGTTTCTCGCAATAAACAGGAATGCCACTGCCCCTTGTGGGCACATAGTATCATTGACATTACTGCATAATTTTAATTTCCTTCTTAAAGGACCAGTCAGTAATACAAAACATATAAAAGGAAGGTTACAGATGATTTATTTATGAAATATCCTTTTACAGTATTTTTTCTGTAAAGCATAGACAGAATATTTCTATCTTCCTGGTGGTATACTGGTGGACAGAAGAATTTCATTGTCAGGTTGTGGCCTCACTGACAGCAGAACCCCCTGAGGAATGCATGGTGGGAGAGTTGTGACATCAGTCAGGGGAGTATGTGGAAAACGCATCAAGAATATTTAAGGAAATAGGGCTTTATTTGTTTTAATTAAGATAGCATGGCTTTATTATTTTTTTAATTTTGATTTTGTTGAACAAGAAACAGAACACAAGAAAAAAAGTTTAAAACACATGGCAATTAAAGAAAGAAATGCCTCTGCCTGTCTGACTCTGGAGAAAAGAGCAGCATGTTATCACAGTCCTGTTTCAGTATTTTCTCTAATTAATTGCATCTGCTTAACATGTTGTGAGATTTAATAAACAAAAATATAAATCATATTTAAGTTTTCTTTCCTATGTAGCCTTGATAAAAAGAATAGAAATTAAAATAAAAATATGTTAACACTCACTGGTGATAGTAAAAGTGATGTTTTTCTGCTCCAAGTGTCATCCAGAAATCACAGTCTGGTCTAAACATCTGGTGAGACACTTATGTAGTGCTATAGCTTAATTTCCCTCAACAATTTAACTACTCCCAGCACCTCTTATCTCCCCTCAGAGAGTGGTGTCCACAATGTGCCTTTGGTAGTTTAGCCTTCTGCTAAATCACATAGCACAATAAACCTGTGACCGCATTACTACACATGTAACTGCTCACATGGCGAGCTTCCAGTCTTCCTCCCAGTTGCAAAGGAATGCATTTCAGGGTAATAATAAAAGACTAATCATCGACAAATGTGATCAGGATGTGATTAATTTGCACAATATCTACATAGCAGCACTAAGTGCTGAGGTATTTTACTCCCTTATCATTGCTAAGGCATATCAAATGTAAACATTACAAAATGTTCAAATAAACTGCTAATATATACTTCCTTAAAGTGATTCACAAGGTTTCAGCTCCATATGATGGTAATGCTTTTATTATCTAGGAACAGCTGAAGTATCTAGGGATAACACCTTCATTAAGACATATTTTCACAGACATGTTATGACCAACAATCCAAAGTTTTACCTATTTCGGTCATTTAGACCAATATTAATCACAATACAAGCAGTATAAAATAACCTTTAATGAAGAAGAGGACTGGTGAATGTAACTTTACCTGACTGTATCATGCATATTCTTACCAGTCTTGCTGCTTTCAGCTAGTCTGTGGTTTCCAGGCACTGCTCTACATTACCTTCTAACTTGTGCTAAGCCTGGCAAGGGAACTCTGAGTTTCTGCAGGATAAAGACCTCTCTGTTGCACTGACACTGAAATGTCTGATCCCCCACTTTCTGACAGCGAAGTATTAAGTGCCCTGGTTGTGAGTGTGCTTGGCAGGTGGTTGGAACTCTGAGAGTCTGTTTCAGATCTATGGCATTGCAGCACTGCATTACCTAGCAACAGCCATGGAGGACTGAGAGACACTGTATTGACACCATGTTACATTCAGGATGGCAGATCCTGAATATCGTTAGGAAGACTGAGAATGATCAGCACGATGATAGAACTCAGATTCTGTTTTCACCTTAGTCGAGTCACTTTTCAACTCTGCTATAACCAGTAACGTTATGGCTATCTCCACACACCTGTATTTAATGTGGAAATAAATGCTGTATCTTTATACTGTATACTTGTGCCTTCCTCAGACACCAACAGATATTAACCTTATTTTCTTCCAGGATTATTTCTTGGCAAGATTTTATATTAGTTTAAATCTGTTTACCATTATTATTTCCACAGGGTGCTGTCAAACTCCATACACTTTTCCTGCCACTAGTGTCAAAGTCTTTTAATACTTCAATATTTATATTTATAGCTATGGTATAGACATCTTTTAATGCACTTAATAGAACTTGCAACAAATTGAATTGGAAATTTCCATTAAATTAATAGATTACAGCTGCCAAATTTGGAACATGTAGTTTGTTAAATGTTTTAAAGTCTTCAGAGACTAAGGCATTACAATATTCAATCAAAATTAATATATAATCATTAAAGAAAACTTTTGAAGGATTGTCACTTGAGCAAAGTGACACAATGATTGCATGAGCATCTTATAGACAAATAGAACTTGAAGTTGAAGATTAACTTGAATACATGCAGTAGATTAAATTATATAGGATTTGGACACACTGCTTTAATACATGTACAGCAGATAAAACACAAACTATACAATTTAATTAATTTAATAGAATGTACTGTATAGATGGTATAAAGATAATCTGAAAGCTAATAGCCAATCCTTCAACACTGGAGGAAGAAAAGCCTGCTGTTACAGAGTGATTATAAATGGCAATGACAACACTAGGATTTTGGAAAAGCAATTGCCAAGGTGAAATGCCTTAGAGAGGTATAGTTAGACACGGGAGCTTGTTTGAAAGAAAACTATGAGTGTCATAGCTCACTGTGTGTGAACTTTAATTCAAATATGCAATTTTAAACATAAGGGATCCATTTACAGTATGTACACGTCTAATTACTATTTATGTAGAAACAGGAAAGTGCTTAGTGCCTTAAGGCTGTTTGATGTTGAATTTCTAGCTGCCTTAAACAACATATGTCAGCCATATGCTGTATATACAGTACTTTTTGTGACCAAATTTGTCACAAAATATGAACTTTTATTTTGGTCTGCTTTATTGAAGTTAAACAGTACAAAATTATTTTAAATTAGATTTTAATAATCTTATTTTTCAAATGACTAAATTAAGTGAAAATAATTTATTGTAAAAGCAGTTCCTAAATGAAATATTTTCATTTTTAAGCATTCTATAGCAGTTAATATTAAAAGTCTGATTTGCATTTTTAAGTTTTAAGTTTTAAATGTTGTTACATTAATATAGTAGATCTATCTTATTGACCTACAAATACTATACAAAACACAAATATTAAACACATGATTTTACACAGTCAATACCTACCTACCAGTTTCAATATATTGTATAAAGTGGAATGTATGTATAAAAGATCCTACATTATTATTATTATTATTATTATTATTATTATTATTATTACATTTTCTTCTTCATAAACATAAATGGTAGTTTTAAACTACTGGAAAATGCATCAATAACTGAGTACTCACTAAACTGAGAATCAATAACTGAGTAGCATACTCTATCTGCGACGTTTGGTATGACAGTGTAAACTCATGACTGGACAATTCTTGTAAAACCTTGGAGAAATCTATGTCAACCCAGTCTTGTTTTTATTATGCAAAACAGGCTTTGAAACCAGACAGGCATGTTTAAAAGTGTAGAAAAAAATCAGTACTGATTTGATTTAGCTAAACATAACTAATAATTCCATTAATTATTAGAGAACACACCCTATGCTGGTGCCAGTTGTTTCTACATTAAGATTACATTGTATTTTAGGAGCTTTAGTGACTTTGACTGCTTTGCCTGCGTGGTCTCTGTACACTGAGAGAACACTACATTTTATTTTCTGAATTCTGATTTTGCTAGTGTTTTTCATTTATTTCAGTCTAACTGGATTTTAATGTTTAATGTAGATCCATTTCTTTTAATTATATATATATAATAGATGCTATAAGGTAGCATCTGTATAATTAAGGCTAATCTTTTACATTGTTTAAATTGCTATCTAAACATAGTCAAGTGCATCCAGAGCTATGAACATGAGACTGTATTGTTTTACCTAATATAGTGTGGTACAGAATATTACCTTTTATGATTCATCAGCAGCTCCCTGTGAAGCTCCTGGTGGCTTTTAGAAGCTTTCACTGGATTATGTAGCTTTTTGGGTTTGATTAGATCATCACCTCCTTCCATATAGGCTGGCTGAGCCACGGGACTCCCATGTGTGTGATGATCCCTCTGCAGACCTGTGTAGGTGGACCCTGTGGAGAGACGGGTGTCAGGATATTGAGAACATTACACGTGGTGTGTGTGTAAACTCCAGGCACTGCACCCAACTTGAACATGAGAAAGACAAGGGGTCCCATTGCAAAGTACCAACAGGGCTTACAGCTGTTACAAAGACATTGTCATATAAGCTGCACAGGTTAATAACAAAAACACAGATATTGTAGATAATTTGTCAGGTAACAGAGCCCATGCATGAGTCAGTTACAGAAGTGATGTTACCCCCTCTGAAATCTAGACAGTGTGAAACTCTGCCACAGCAGAGGAGTTGGTCTTTTGATGTGTGAACCAGTTATCCACTACCCTGGGAGGGGCGCTGTGCTTGGAACTTGTAAGCAACTGGGACTGAATTCTAGCAGGAGTAGGGAGAGCTGCATACATTACATGTCCAGGGTCAGCTTCCAGGGTTTTGTTCTTTTTTAATGATAATATCAATTTCTCTGTCTTTTTTCACAATGCTGGAAACCAAAACTTTCTGAATAGATTTCAAATTATGAAACCATCAAAGTTAAACACGCTCTGAAATAAAACTGAAATGAGTAGTTTGTAAGTCACATACACAGGCTTCAATGATCCAGATAAGAACTCTCATACTAAGTCCTAATAAATTCCAAACTACTTTGGGCTTCATGTACACAAAGTAGAGTTTGTAGTCTCTTTAGACAGTTATACTCGCTGGTGTCCTGTACACCATAAACTGTACAATAAACTCAATAGGTGGTGTTTTAAAGAGTTATGTCCATAGTTTAGAAGTTACAAATATGTGCAATCCATCAATTTAAAAAAAACATACATTATTTTTTATTTCTTAAGCTACAATAGAGAAGGTTGTGACAAAAACAACACTTCAGTCCAAAAGAAACTTGGCACATCTTTCATCTTGATGAAAATGTTGTTTTCTACCCCTGAATGACAGAGACCTTGGAAAGCCTGTAAAAAACTCTAATTATCAAACAACCTTATTCTTGATTAAGACTAATTGTGTACAAAATCAATTAATTTAAACCTTTTTTACTGGTTAAATCTCAGTTATACACAAAGGCCTTGGAGGTGATGATTTTTTCCATTTCTACAGTATCAAAAGAATTGGAATCTTGAGTTTGAGAAAATGGTGAACTCGAAAAAATGAATGTTTTTTCTAGTTACAATTAAACACTCATTCAAAATCTAATTTTTCGTTTTAGCAAGGAGTGTTTTTACCTCTTCAAACTCAAGATAACTTATTTCACAAGTGAAAATCTGTTTGCTTTTTGCAGTTTTTTTCCCTTTCATGAGAATTGTTCCTTCCTCTGTTTCCTAAAATTTATTGTAGTTGCTTTGAAGATGAGAAACACTTTGAAGCAAGTGAAACTGAAAATTTCTAAATCCCATATTTATTTTTTTCAACATACCATAGGTCATGCTGTAAAGCATATATATTCTAACGTCAAGCATTCACTAATCCCTAGCCAATTATTTCTACTCATCAGTATTTTCAGTAACTTCTATTCCCCTTGTTTGGCCTGGCTCAACAGTACAAACAGATTAAAGGGGACCTGATGCCCAAGTGATTCCAGGTATCAAATTTAATAAAGTATGAGCCCTGGCCTGAACAATGCAATATTCCTCATGTGGAACAAGACTCACCTTTGCTATTTAATATTTAAAAATCTGTATGATTCACCTTTGTACCTGAACACTTTCTTATCTGGAAAAGAAAAGTTACTGAAAAAATCATTTATATCATTCCTGATATATCATGCCACAATGTAGTAAATTTTATTTATCTACTCCTATTAATGGAAATTAATAGTTTAATTAATAGGTTTAGGCGGATGCTTCCGTGACTCGCATTTTTCATTACAAAATGCTATATTATTTTATTCACCTTGTTTTCTTTTTTTTTTGTATTTATCTTTAAGGAATAGAATGGATATACAGTTTTAGTAGGTAGCATGAAATGTCTTTCTGTTTATTTCATGTGAAGAACATAGCAAAATTTTTTTTACTATGGTATTTAAAATTAAATTTAAAATTTTATTAATTTACCATTTATTTAAAATTACAGTATGTGAAGAAATGTTTTAGTCAAGATATAAACAATTTTGTATCTGTAATGTAAACTAAAAAAACGATAAGAAATTCCCATCAGAGCAGTTCATTACAACCAAGAGAAAAGTGATGGGTGGAGTAGGAGCCAGTTGAAGACACAAGAGATGAAAGGGCAGAGAAGAGGGTTTACACCAGTTACTAAATCCATTTGAACTATTTTTACATGTTTAAGTTAGCACTTTTAACTAATATTGTCACAATCGCTACTCCACCTCTTAAGGGCGCTCCAGCCCTTCCTTGTTCTGCCCCATTCCCCACACCTGATCCTTATTCCAGCCCCTCTTCAGTTCCCCCTTAAAAGCCAGACGCAGATGTCATTCGAGGCTCTTCATTGAATTCTGTTTCGTGAGAACCCAGGTCCTGCTGCGTCTGGCTCCCTTATGCTTTTAACTTTCTGTTCCTGTTCCCCCCGCCGGTCCCAACCCAGTTCCAGTTTTTAAACCCCTGGATGGATCGCCTGGCCATGGACTTATGCTTCAGATTTGGATTCCTCGTTTGGACTTCGTCTTGGATTGTTTGCCCCGGACTCACTTCCCCTAACACCTACACCCCTAGGACATGCCCCCTGTCTCCATATCCGTCTCCTGCATGACTTTTCCCCCAGTGTTTCCTCACAATTACGGATTGTGTCGTGTGCATAGGGCCCGGAAAGAACTGTTCGTGACAGATATACTCAAAGCAATAGTTTTATCATAAGTAAACAGAAATTAAACATTTTAACATTTTTTGCTCAAATCATGTTATACACACATTTTGCCATATTTGTGTTCTTGTAAATATGCCTTGGATACTGAGCCCATCCCATAGCTCCCCTTATTTCCAAGAGAGACTTCAAAGTCATGGAGGCTTTCAGTCTCCATTAATGGTGGCTCTCAAGTTCTGGGGTCTCTTCTTCCTCAGAAGGGACTGGAATAGTAGAGTGGGAGTGGATACGAAGAGATGCCGCCCTCCCCCGGTAGGGGGCATCTTGTCCTGATGTAGCAAAATCAGATGGCCCCATTGGGCCATAGCCATGTACTCTCTAGCTCATCCATTCAATGATGTTGCATGGCTCCACCCATTTGGGATTGGGTTTTAGACTACAGCCTCTGATCCAGTGAGGGTTGTAGGTACAGACCTCCTTCTGGGGCTGGATGAGCTGTTCTCTTGCCTGTACTGTACATTGTACTTCCACCTTTATTGTTGTTTATTATTAGAGCAGTTCTCGCCTATCTAGCAGCATAGTGATGGACAGCCTCCATATGCAGTTGGTCTATCTGTCATTTGAGAGTGATCTGTATTTAACTTGGGAGTGATCTGATCAAAGACTATCTCTGCTGGCATGTGCAGTTTCCTGCTTTGCAGAGCAATAAGCCAGGAGCACCAGGAGAAGCTTTTGGTCCCAATTTATTTCGTTTTTCTTTAAAACTAGTGATAGCTGAGTCCTCAGAATGTGGTTGAATCGCTCCATGACATCATTTCTTTCAGGATGCAGGGACATCTGGCCCATCAACTGGGACACCTAAGACTTGAACTTCTGCCCTTGATCTAAGTGGATTTCGTCCAGAACTCCAAATTGGCTGAAAAACCCTATAATCAGAACATCACACACCCTCTCAACCTCCTAATCAGGCAAGGTGTAGACTAGCCAGTGAAGTGGTCCAACACAAAGCAATTACCCCTCAGTGTCCTTTCTGTATGTAGGCATCATAGCAGCAGCAGAAGTCTTGTCAGATACACCTCCAGTGATGACATTTAGAGAATTTTTGTCATCCAGAAATGTCCTACCTTCAGAGGTAAATGGTAGGCTAATAATACCTTTGTCCATAGTACTGAAGGGACCACTTTTTAAAGTTCTCACCTTATCCGTCTCCTTAACTACTTTAATTCAACTCACACAATGCCTGAGGAAAGAGACTTCCCTCTTGAAGGTGGCACTTCTCCAGCAACCAGCAGCCATGATTCTCTCCAAGACCAAGTGGAGAGCTTGAGGAATGCTGTCAAAAGACCTGCCATGAACCATTAGATAATCAAGATATAGAAGGACACCACCCCCTTTCAAAATGTTCACCTTTTGTTGCCCTAAAAGCCCAAAAAGAAGACAAATAAAATCAGACTTTTTCCAGTTTTATTTTCAAAATGCACCTTGCAACATCTAAGTGAAAAAAGAAAGCACAATTTCTGAAATAACATATCTAAAAACGTATAAAAACTGGGATGGAGAAAAGAACACCCCCCTGAGTTAATTCTTGGTGGAAGCACCTTTTGCTTGAATTAAAGCCTTGAGTCTGTTTGGATACATCTCTACCAACTTTGTACACCTAGTGCTTTACTGTAGGAATGGTGTTCTTTGAATGGTAAGATGTATTGGGTTTTTGCCAGAACAAAAAGTTCGATTTTGGTCTCATCTGACCACAGCACTTTTAAGGTACTTTTTAGCAAAACATAAACTAGACTTGATATGGCTTTTTTTAAGGAGTGGCTTTTTTCTTGCCACCCTCCCATACAGGCCAGATTTGTGGAGCGCTTGTGATATTGTTGTCACATGCACACAATGACCAGTCTTTGCCATAAAGGCCTGTGCTGTAGCTCATTTAAAGTTGCCATCCACCTCTTGGTAGCCTCTCTGATCAGTCTCCTTCTGGCAGTCATTCAGTTTGGAGGGACGGCCTGATCTAGGCAAGGTCTGAGTGGTGCTATACGCCTTTAACTTCTTAATGGTGGTCTTGACTGTACTTCACGGGATACTTAAAGCCTTTGAAAACTTTTTATACTCATCTCCTGACCTGTGGCTTTCCACGACTTTACCTCAAAGTTCTTTTGAAAGCACCTTTCTGCCCATAGTAGATTCTTTGCTTCGAAACACACTTCCAAGCAGTGGAATCCTCTAGAAACAGTTCATACTAGAAACATTAGTTCTTTTATTCTGAACTAATCAAAATCACCACAATTGATCACAGGTGGGAGCCAATTAGTTTGTTGTGTGACCTATAAGGTGATTGGTTATACCTATACAAGTATATATATGCAATTGTAAGGGGGGTGTTCACTTATCCATATAAGGTATTTTACTGTTATTAATTATTAATTTTATTATTAATTTTCAGAATGTTTTAGAATTTTATTTTCACTTGGCTAATGTGGGTTACTGTGTGTAAAAAATGGAACAAGCCTAATTTAATTTGTTTTTATTTTCAGAGTGTCATACGACAAAATGTAAAAATTATTAAAGGGGGTGTTGACTTTCTATACCCACTGTAAAGGATAGGAAAGAGAAAGAAGTAAGCTTGGCTAAGGTTACAGGGTGAAAGTCATGGAGCAGTCCAATGCTGGGGAGCAGAACACTACAATACTATCTCTAAACCACCAATCATATTCTATTTAATGCATATTACAGCAGTACTGCCAGTAGATGTCAAATTAGAAACCGTCAGAAATTATCTTCCCATGCTAGTCCTGTTATAAAAGTCAATTTAAACTAAATTCATGATAGCTAGCCACTTACTCAGGTTTGTGTTAAAACATACTGGAAAAATCTCAAAACAAAAAACGCTGTATTATTAAAAGGGAAATTAGTGTGTGTTAGTTAATATTTACATTCTTGTTGTCAAACAGCTATGATTCATCTCTTACAATGATCTCTTACAGGAGAACAGTTGTTTAGTAAGATTCTGGTTCAGCAGCACTATCAGTGATATAATTACTTTGCTAAAGTGGACTCCCTTGATAATATAGGCACTGCCATCTCTAAGCTGCTTATCAAGGCTCTGCAGTATTTCCGTGAAGTTACTGACACTGCTAATGAAATTCAGCTCCTGTGGGTGTTATGATTAAATCTATGCAGTCCTATTAACAGACCCACCAAGTGGGGGATGTGACTGACAGGAGTTGTTACATTATCATTTGTAATGCTGTGGAGGAAAAATGTTCTGTTTCAGAATTAATAAACATTAATGTTTGTCCTGGCCTGATCTGAATAGGCTAGACTGACAGAACCAAAACATTCAGTGGAAAACATGCCTGAAACAAACCACAAGACAAAGCCTTGACTTGAGATGTCAACAGGGGTTCTCTTGTCAATGGCTCTGAAAACACAGTATATTTTTAAGTGGGCTGTTATTTCTAATATAAAATGAAAACTTTTTCCTAATATAAGTCTCATTTGCCTGGTTCCATTCATGCACGGAAATGCATTTTCACACAATAACCTTTAAATTGGTGCCCATCAGAGGTGACTTAAACAGTGAATGAACGGTCTTTATGCATTAAGTTGAACAGCTCATAATTTACATTGACAAAAATAATAGTGAAGTGTAACCTATCACATTCTGAGACAATCCTAGCAGTTGTTTTCCAATGATTTCTGCTCATACATTTGAATTGATATAGACAAATACACAAAAAATAAACAAAACTAGAGTTTTCACAAATAGAAAAGGGTATACAAATTTTGAATGTCTCAGTTAAAAAAAACTTGATTAATGCAACATCAAATGAGATTTACTGCTCTATGCAGCCTGAAGACGGTGAAAATGGTACAGCAGTTAAATATGCCGTGCACACCTACGTGTACATGAAGCAGGTGGTGTTGAACAATGCTGAAAACTTTGCCTTAAATGGCTCCCTGCCATGCTACTCCATAACAGAATAAAAAATGCACAGTTTCATCAAAATATCTTTGTTAAATCAGATGATAAATTGTAGAGAGTTTTTAACAAAAGGAGTAAAAAAAACTGCCTCTCAAGGGTTGTGTAGACAATCAGTACATTGGGAAATGAGAATAATTTTAGATATGCTTTTGCAGGCATCAGTTAGCATTGCAGGTGACATCCTTCAGTCAGCACAAATGGATCTGGACTGAAGGTTTCTGGTTTTCTGGAGCAAAATATCTGATACCTCAAAAGCCCAGGGTGGGATAATGAAGGGTTCACATGTTGAAAAACTTTTTATCCCCATTTATTGTGGAATTTAAATGAAAATACACTTCTATACATAATCTATACATCTATACACACTTCTGTACATAATTCTTCTATACATAATTGTATTTTTCATGAACAAGCAAATGTTTTCCCCATAGAGAATTACCTTTTAAAATGCAGTTGCTGTAGTAGTGCAATTCATTGAAAACAAATATATGAAGTCAATTCAAAAAGCACAATGTGTGAATTGTGCTGAGGACAACAATGAAAATGGACATTTCATGACTTTACAAATTATTTTATTTTACAGTGAAACATAAGCACACCTTATGGTATAGACGACACTAATTGAAGTGTTGTTTAAAGTAATGTATTGCCTACCTGATTTCACCATCATCTCTCTGCGCTTTCCAGAAGCCCTAACCGGGATCAGCCCCTGAGTGACTCTCTGCGACATTGAGCAAAAAATACTTTTCTATATTTCTCTTTAAGTCTTATTTATCAAATACTGCCAGGCAGAGAGCCTAACATGACTTTTGGCAGTGGGCTGTTAAGCAGCCCCACTTCTTTAACATGTTCTGAGTCTGAGCTAGAATAAACAGTCACATGACCAGGGCACTCCACAGCTCCCTCCCTCCCTGTTAGGAGACACGTCCTCCTCCGCAGAGCAATGTCCTGCTGCGTGGATTAGTTAGAAGCCTGAGTAATCCTTGATGCTGATATTAACATTAAGTCATCAAAGTTCAAACTGTATGCTAATTTGAAAGAAGAATATGTATTTTTATTCCAGAAAGAACATTTGTTGAAACTGTATTTATGATTTGATTATTTAAATATATGAGCAAAGCAGTATTTTATAAACAGTATTTTTTATATTGCACATGGTAAAAATACCAATCTGTTTAGGTGGAGCAATGCCGCTTTCAAAACTTCAACATGCTTAACTACTTAATCAACTTGAATTTCTAGGCTGTTGATGACAATTGTTTAATTTCCATTCAGCAGATGGAACATACAGTAAGTTTATTTACAGTAAATATAGATAAACATTGGTTCCATTGTACATGTTTGCTGAGTCAACACAAAAGTTTGCAGGATGAAACCTAATTTAAACCTAACTTTGCTCAAGATCCCTGTTTTTCAGATTGAAAATGTAAAAATCAAGGAAAACCCACATATATGAAATGTAGCAGGATCATTTCCAGATTTGGAGACCTAATTAATAGGAATCAGAATTTACTCCTCAAGGTTCACTTTGTAGTTAAATATCTTGAAAAGGTTTCTAAAGATTTCTCGTGATATGTTCAGTTCTAGCCCTGCATTCAGTTAAAGCTTGGTGCAGTAATAGGCATCATCACAAGCTAAGTGTTTCAACCTCACAAACCACAGTGTTTCTATATCAGTGGTGACAGGGGAAGATTGTATAGTAAAAACATATTTATTCGGATGTTCTGCTTTTTTATGTCTTAAAAACCATATTATAAACTATTAATAAGGAGACAAAGAATTTACGATTTGGACTGTCTTTTGTTAGTGCAGACACCTGTTCTTTTAAGAAATATTGCACTGAATCCATCCATTACCTATATGCTTTATTCAATTCAGGATTGCGGGAATGCACTTAATACTGTAACCTACTTAAATCATTTTATTCTTTTAAAGAAGTAGGACAAAACAACTAAACAGTTTATACTGTTTACTGCAGAAATCAGCAGCTGGTAAATAAAAAATGTGTAAAGAGTGTTTTGATCATTGTGCACTTACAAAAGTAATTAACTTTGTGCAGACATACAGTACATCATTGTAAAAAAGGGAAAAACTGAAAAATGGCCCTATTTCACATTACCATTCTGAAGAGATACTTACCAGAGCCATTCAAGTGTTTTTCATTTTCCATACATTGGTGCTCTAAGGAGTACTCTTTCTGTTGACACAGGAAAAAATAACATTTATTTTTTTATATATAAAATTACTGCTAGAATGCTAAATTGTGCATTGATGTGTATTAGTATGACTGAATAAAACATTAACGTTTTATAATGTTATTGAAGCTATTTGTAACAATACAAAATGTAAGGAAGTTTTTGTTTTTTAGACACTCTTATTGGTATTGAACATTCAAAGCACGTGGTCAAAGTTGGCTTGCACTACTGAAAGCTTTTCCATATTGCGTCTGAGCAGTATGAACATTTTACAGGATGAATTCAAAAAGGCTTTTTGGATGTCTTCATGATTCTGTGAAAGCACATTGTGCTGGTGATGGTGGTGTTATTGGTTGCTAGGAGAGACTCACTCGGGCTTGGTACTTTGACAAGGCCTTCTCTGTCTGCAGCCTTACCCAACTTCTTTGCAAGTACACTTCTTTTAATCCACTAGGGAAGCGTGATGGGAATATTTTACTGGTTAGTACATAATAGTGAAAGGTCTTTTTCAATATGCCAGTTATTGGCTGCTCCTTTTACATATTTTTGAGGTACTCATGTATAGAGTATCTGACAGTTGCAGAAATGCCTTTATATCTCTTTACATCAAAATGTTATGCTTAAATCATGCATGAAACTACTGCTCAGATTTAACAAATGAGATGTGCATGTGTTTCTTTTTGTTATATTAATGCTACCTCCTACACATTCAAAATTTAGACATACATACTATAACAAGATAACACCAGAATATGGAATCAAATGCATAAATATGAATAAATATCAAGATAATTAATTATAATAAACACCATTTGTGTTTAACTTAGAAAAAAAATTAAATCTTAAATTAATTCAAATTTAATCAAAATTGTCAACTTTTGCATGTTTTCTTTTGCTGATTCTAACGCACTTCTCTGAAGTACCTTGGCCAAATGCTTAGCTGCTTAAGAGTTAATTGAATTCTCAAGATATATTTTTGTAACAGTTTTAATGTCATTCTCTTTATTTTCTGACCAATATATATTAGTGACCAATAGCAGATACTGATGCTATACAGTATATCAACTTTTTAAAGTTCTAGGACCCTTCTCCTTGAGCAGGTTGTCAGATTGCCACAGAGTCACCAGTATACCCACCGACTTGTACAAAACAGATAGAGTACATATTTGTAACTTTTATTCTAATGCACTACTTGCAACCACCATAAGGTATTGCTGTACACACATTAAAAACAAATAGAATCTAACAACACAGTCCTAAACAACCAAAAGATGAAGAAGACCAAAAAAACACAGAGCACTGCTCACTGTAAAAAACTACACTGAAAGGGCTAACTCGAAAAAGGGAGAAATTGAGAATGAACCGATAATGACAAGTCTCAGAGAAAGTCAGAAATGAGACTGTCTAAAAGCAAATGAATGAAGGTGATGAAGTCAAGTATGTGAATATTAATAGGTGGAAACACGGTAATCATTCTGGGGAAACTGAATGAGTTGACAAGGAAGATGGTCATTGGGGACATGCAGCTAGAATTATTGCTTTGCAAAGCTGCAGGAGATTTTGCATTCCATTGAGTTAAAACTTACAGACTTGTCCTCCTCCTGTGGAGATAATAGTATAACCCCCTGGCATTTTCTGATCTTAATGAGAGTACAAGAATTGATGATGGGGAAAGGAAGATGAGTCTGATAGGAGAGGCTAAAATTGGGAGAGGCAGAGATTCTGAGCGTGAGCACTGTAGTGATGACTGAGAGGTGCCGTAGGTAATGGAGATGATAAAATGTAAGCCTGAAAATGGGCAGCAGAAGAGCGCGGTATCATGCACCCCAGTAGACTGTCAATCCTCTGTTGCAGGGGAGGGAGTTAATGATATTTGCAAAACAGGGAGCCACCAAAGCAAATTTTTGATTATTTCTTCAGGTTATGGCTTATTTGAGCAATCTCGTTTTTCTGCTGTGGTTGTGGCCTGACTGGTATTTATAATTTATTTTTTGTGTAAATATGGTTACTGTACCTCTGTATTCTTCTTTTTTTCTTTCCCAGTCTAAAATCATTGTTATAGTTTTTAACAGCACGTTCTGGGATGATAGATGTGAAAATGTCATGTGGAGAGGAAACATAAACTCCGGGTGGGAGAAAATAAACCTTTGGGTATCCAGGTCCAGTGGTTCTCTTATAGCTGGGCAGTGAGATTAGGTAACTTATAAATCATAGACACTCTCTTTTTCAAATCATTTGTTTGCAATATGACTCACTGTCCCACTGGGGAGCAGCCTGGGGTTACCAGTGCTGAGGTTGGCTTTGGTTGGCTACTCACAGATATTTTCAGGAGAGGACATGTTATGTTCTTAGTGTTATTGTGTGTGTTTTCAGCAACGGCTGTATTAGTTACAACAGGGTGTTCATTATATGTTTTCACAAGTTGCCATAGAGTCATGTGAGAACTGGCAAAAATCAAGTCAGTCTATGGAGCAACACGTTGGCAATGACACAGTAGTCTTTTGTTAGATAAATTGTTAAACCTTTATGCATTTCACCTTTTCTGTATGTAACACAGTAAAGGTGATACAATGACAGAGTGATTAAAATAGAGATGTGCAGGCATGATATCGGAATCAAGATTGATGCACTAACCACATACTGTATGCCCTAACCTTTCTGGTCTTTATATGAGAGGAAGCCCAGATACTAGAAGACCTTGAGGGTAAATAGTAGGCATGGGGTGGTGATTGCTGTGAACGAGGAGACTGGCCCACTGTGGACTGGTGAATCCACAAGTAAGGTGGAGTAAGTGTTAGCAACCATGTAAGGAGCTCAGAAAGAGGTCACTGAAGACAAGTAGGAGTCCGGATATCTGGAGAGGGCTTGACTCTCAGGAGCCTGGATGATCAGGACAGTGTGTGGGAGCTTGTATAAAGCAGGTTAGACTACTGCAATGCCCTACTATCAGGGAGCACCCATCACTCTTTCACCACCTTACAGTGAATTCAGATTGCAGCAGCTAGAATTGTTACTAGGAGCAGAAAGTATGACCATATAGCCCATATACTTAGCTCTCTTCATTGGCTTCCTGTCAGGTACAGGGCAAACTTCAAAATCCTTCTACTTACTTATAAGGCACCTGTCTATCTAATGGAACTTATTAATGTATACATCCAAGTTGCCGCTTAGATCACAGAATGCAGGTCTTCTTCATATTCCAAGCATTAATAAAAGAACAGTTGGCGGTAAAGCCTATAGTTACAGGGCCCCTAGCTTATGGAACAGTCTCCCACCCAATATTCGGGATGCTGAGTCAATCTCATTATTCAAATCCAGACTGAAAACCTATTATTTCAGCCCAGCCTACTCACACCTTACATCATAGCCTGCTGCAACCATGGCTGCTGGTGCTGCTGTACATGCCACTGTGTGTCTCTGTGTTGGCCCACAAGGTAAATACATCTGTGCTGACCAAATTATGCTATTCTTCTCCCCACATGTCCGGATGGCGCCTGGCCTGGGCACCATCTGACTTGAATGCTGCATCACTGCCACGGGCACGAGGGACAGTGAGTCCCAGTGCAGATTGACACAGTGGGGTGATAGAGGGGCAGGTCCTATGCTGACAGCAGAAATAAGGATTGGGGAAGGGAGAAACAACAAAGATAGGCTGGTTCTGTAAGTGCAGAGGGTCGAAAAGGCACTTACAGATGTGCAGCTCCACCTGGACGTTGTTTTTCTCAGTGTCTGACAGGTGATTAGTGGCTTTCCTGCTATCTGAATTTAAGTTTGTGATTTCACTGCCCTGTGACCTGGAATTCATTCTACAGTTCTGTCGTTACACACATCTGGGGAGACTGTATCCTGGAGTCTCTAATCATTTCCTAGACCATGTGCGCTCTAGGACTGGACACCCAGCTTTCGCTGACACCAAAATCTTCAGAATACTCTACTGGGAGATATGTTTGGACCACAACCATTACCTATCAGAGAACTTTTACCCTTTTTTTCGTAATCTCGCCTAGGACTTTTTGTTGTTCTTTCTCCTTTGGGGAAAAACAATTAGCTACCTGCTGAGTTCAGGGCTCCTGTTTTGCTAACAACAGATATGAGGATTCCTCCATTATTGCTACCTCATGGTATATGAGAACTTACCACTCAGGATTTCCTAACCTTCTACCAGAAGGTTCCAGCTACTGTCAGATGCTGACAGGTGCCTCCGGTGTACAGTGAAATTAGGAGTGAGGAAAAATATCCCTTTCATTGTCTCCATAAGACACTCATTCTGTTTACCCCAGACTCCCTCTAGAGTTTGTAGCCACATACTGGGTTAACTAACCAAAACATTTCATTTAACCTGTCCACTACAGAGAAATAGCTTGTCTTGCCCTCTTCTCTTCTCTTGCTTCTTGACAGGAAATCTCTAACGCCTAAGTGCAAAGGAGGCTTCCCCTAAAGAACTGCTTCTCCTTCAACTAGGGACCAGAGCTCCTACTCGAAGGAGCTAATCCTGGGTAACACCTGTTCTTTACTTCTCCCTGTATTGCTCCTACCTTCTTTTGGAATCACCAAGCTATGCAGAACCTATAGAGATATAGCTCTTAACCTAACCTTGCAATCCTTTACTGAGACTGATATTTTACCTAAGGCTTCTCTACAAGCAATCTATAGCCATCCACATCTGGGGAAACTCAGAACTCCTGCAGGATTTTGACCTGACAATCTGGTTGTTAAACTTTTTCCTTTCTGGAGTGTGATAGAACCCAGCCCTGTGTCTGTGATCTTAAGTCTTAAGATTTTAGCTGTGCAACTACTCGGTGGGTCTTGTTTTACTAGGGCTACTTGAATAATAACTCATAGCTTGCAAGTGACCCTGACACAACAGCTACAGATTCTCCTATTCCTTCACCCTATTGGTCTCTCGGTCCTTGACAGGGACCTAAATGCCTAATCCAATGGTGCTAGGACAGCTTCTCTTCAAGAGCAGTGCTCCTATTGAACAATATGAAAGACATGTGAT